GGCAGAACGATGACGAGCCACTCCGGGCGTTCATGGAGCGATTTGCTGCCACCTCGGTCAAGATCAGAAATCTGAACCCTGAGGTCGCCCTGCATGCCATGCTCATGGCACTCAAGCATTGGCTTTCAATCCCTTACCTGATGTATACATATAAGAACATACACTTTATAAAAATTTTCTATTTTGCTTTCTAATTTTTGTGTTGTGTTCCTTGTATGATTCTAAGTGTGAATATGTGTTCAATTTCGAGAATAGATAAGTTTTGATATGGATTAGAGTGCTATATGAGTTACTGCGGGAAATCCTATGAAAAACAAGCAATTTTTGAATGTTTTCTATTTTAGCTTCTGAGTTTTCTGTTGTGTTCTCTGATGATTACTGAGCATGAATGTATGTTTAATTTTGAGTTTGGATATGTTTTGATATGGATTAGAGTGCTCAATGGGTTGATGTGGGAAATCGTATGAGAAATAGTCAAATTTTGAATGTTTTCTATTTTGACTTCTGAGTTTTCTATTGTGTTCCTTGATGATAACTGGATATGAATATATGTTTAATTTTAAGATTGAATATGTTTTGATATGGATTAGAGTTCTTTATGGGTTCCTACCGTAAACCCTATGAGAAACATACATAATATGAATGTTTTCTATTTTTTTGTTTGAATTTTCTGTTGCATTCCTTGATGTTTGCTGAGTGTGAATATGTGTTTAATTTCAAAAATAGATAAGTTTTGATATAAATAGGGTGCTTTGTGGGTTCCTATGGGAAATCCTACGAGAAATAGATAATTTCAAAAATAGATAGGTTTAACCTATGTTTGAAGGTGCTAATGGTGTGAGAATATCTTATTATTGTACTGCCTTATTATTGTATTAATGCAAGTGATGTGTTTCTATGAGCATAATGAGGATGAGAATCTCTTATATGTGACTTTGTGACTATGAGTATGATAATTTGATATGAGAACAAGTGACATAATGAGATAAGACAAGTGAAATGTTGAGTTCATGAACATGTGAATGTGTGACATGCATCATATACATCTATGTGATGGGGTACGATATGGAGTACGCCGTTAGGGAAGGCCCTTTGGGTGAAACATCTCAGAGGAGTCCTAGGGGATAGCGCGGTTTGGAAGGCCTAGTTATGCCCGTTTGTGTGCATGGGATGTTTCTTACACGACCTCGCTATCCCGATGAGACCCTAGTAGTACATCCTTCTTCTAGTTGAGAGTGCACGGTTGAGCCAACATGTACTCCTAAACTACTCCAAGTGTGTTGTTTCGGCAACATACCACGTGATATGTGATTATGAGATACGTGATTAGCGCCACATGCATGTATTTATGAGTCGAGTCCATGACATCATTGCATGATAAGTGATTGTGCATGTGTTACTAGTTTATGTATGGCTTGTGTGTGTGTTATCTGACAGTTATTTTTGCACCTGAACTTGAGTGAGAGTTTCTCAGTCCCTTGTTTTTTCTTGTGTGTGTTTCCCTTTATGCTTGCAGGTGACTTTCAACCTGACGTTGATGAATTCCATGATGATGCTTAGGTGGGAAGCTTTGATTAGGATATGTGACACCAAGAGATAGATTAGGACATTTTATTTGGTGATTTGGATTTCTTATGATATTAATTTCTGATTTTGGATATAGTTATTTATTTACTTTAATTACCTTGATATTTAATTTACTTTATTATGAAAGTGTTGAAGATGTGAATGTGAGCCTTTTACCCTTATGTGCTTGGAGACTATATTTTAATAATGAAAATTTTATGTTATGTTCATTGTATAATTATGTGTGGGGTAAAGGGCGTCACATTTAGTGTTATCAGAGCCTAGTTGATTCAAATCAGATGTGTGTGTTTATGTGCTTATCATGATTCTGTTGTGTACTCTGGCAATGTTTTGCTTGTTGTGTACTTTGATGATGCTTTGCTTTGTGATGATGACAATGATGATGATGATGTTTTCTTTGTGTTGTTGTTGTTGTTGTGCTTAATTAGGTGTTTCTCTTCTCAAAATATGGCTACATGATATATCTTAGCTGATGCTATTTATGATTACTTTCTTTATTCTCATGATTGCTTATTTGTTTTGATACTTCTTGATTATGTAAGAAGTAGTGGTTGGGTGGTATCGCTCGTGTTGTGAGCATATGTGCAAGTAGTAGTGGACGAAGTATCGTGCTAACCAATTAGGAACTATTAGAACCTTGGATTTGGTTGAAAGAGTGATCTGTCGAATTTATTAAGAGTTTATTATTGATGAAGTTTTTGAAATCTATAGTTGTGGGAATGAATCTAGAGAGGTTGTATGTTGAAAAGTGGGATTTTGAGTATTCTTGATGAGAGACTGAAATGTGGGTGATTTCTTGAGTTTCGATGCTTGCATGTTGACCTTTTTATGGTTTGAAGTTTCATGTGGATTTTATTTCAGTTTTGAGTCTTTTGTGTGGAATATGTGAACTTTTTTGGTTTAGGATTGTAGTGAGAAGCTTGGATGTGAGTTTGGGGTAGAAAAGAGTGAGTTTGGGGTAGAAAAGAGTGAGTTTATGGTATCATTGCATGATAAGTGATTGTGCATGTGTTATTGGTTTATGTATGGCTTGTGTGTGTGCCTTGTTTGTGATTGCTTTGTGTCTGTGTTATCTGACAGTTGTTTTTGCACCTAAACCTGAGTGAGACGTTTCTCACTCCCTTATTTGCTCTTATGTGTGTTTTCCTTTATGCTTGCAGGTGACTTTTAGCCTAACGTTGATGAATTCCATGATGATGCTTAGGTGAGAAGCTCTGATTAGGATATGTGACACCATGAGATAGATTAGGACATTTTATTTGGTGATTTGGATTTCTTATGATATTAATTTCTGATTTTGGATATAGTTATTTATGTACTTTAATTACCTTGATATTTAAGTTACTTTATTATGAAAGCATTGAAGATATGCCTATTACCCTTATGTGCTTGGAGACTATATTTTAATTATGAAAATTTTATGTTATGTTTATTGTATAATTATGTGTGGGGTAGAGGATGTCATAACAATGACCCATCTTAGCCTTAATCTAAATTCTTTTGGCATAAACATTGAACTCACAAGAATAAAAAAAAAAAACTAAAATCAATAAGTGGTTGGCTTGATTGATATTAAACTTAAATTTCTTTAAATAAGATTCAATTTGTGTATGAAA